TTCATTCATTCATTCATTCATCCATTCATTCATCCATTCATGCATTCATTCATTCATTCATTCATTCATTCATCCATGCATGCATTCATCCATTCATCCATCCATCCATCCATCCATCCATCCATCCATCCATTCATCCATCCATCCATTCATTCATCCATTCATTCATCCATTCATGCCTGCATTCATTCATTCATTCATTCATTCATTCATTCATTCATCTATCCATCCATTCATGCATTCATGCATGCATTCATTCATTCATCCATTCATGCCTGTGTTCGTTCATTCATTCATTCATTCATTCATTCATTCACCATTCTCTGCAGGCTGAGCTGACTTCTCTTCCTCTCTTCCCACACAGGAGCCAAAGGCTGTTGTCCCCATGAGTGGTTCTCCAGAAGTGCCTTTTGCTACAAGGTCTTCGAAGAAGCAAAGACCTGGGAAGAGGCAGAGGTTAGAAGTGCTTGTGAGTCTGTGAACCGCCCGGCCCAGGCAGAGGAGAAGTCTAGGCAGAGCCTACATTTAAATCCAGGCATTGTTCTGGCTGGGTTGAACTAGGCTGCGTGCATGAATAGGTAGCGAAGCTCGTGATTTTTAACACAGTCCGAAAGGCAAATATTCTGCAAACTATATATTGTTGCAAGCTTTCATGGCCAGTATCTGTTGGTTGGTCATTGTGGAGCTTCAGGCTTGAGTGACCATCTTCTAGTCCAGGGATCTCCAACTTTGGCCACTTTATGACTTGTGGACTTCAACTCCCAGAATTCCCAGCATGCACTGGCTGAGGAATTCTGGGAGTTGAAGTCCACAAGTCATAAAGTAGCCAAGGTTGGGGACCCCTGTTCGAGTCAACAAGTTTCTTGATCTTTCACTGGCTTCTTCAAATCAGTTTATATAGTGCTTATTCCAAGCGCTAAAGGGCAAGACAAGAAACAACAGATGGAAACTAATCAAGGAAGCAACCTGGAATTAAAGAGAAACTTCCTTACAGTGAGAACAATCAGCCAGTGGAACGACTTGCCACCAGAAGTTGCCAGGGCTCCATCACTGGAGGTTTTCAAGAAGAAACTGGACAGCCACTGGTCTGAAATGGTGTAGGGTCTCCTGCCTGAGCAGGGGGCTGGGCTAGAGGACCTCCAAGGTCCCTACCGGCTCTATTTTGATGGATCGATTGATTGAGTTTAACTCGTGAATCTAAGTCGGGAATTGTTGGAGAGCTGCAGACTCCAGCAAGGGCATTTGCGACCTTCCACAAAGTCACGATGGTGTCTAGGACCGTGAGAAAAAGTTTCCTTTTATTTTTCCTCACCTGCACAATAAAAAACCCACACACAGGCACACACAAACACACCTTTCTTTCCTGCTGCTCAAGTGCCTTCCTCTGTGGCTGCTCTCTTGCAGAAGTACTGCAAGAAATACCAGCATGGCTGCCATCTCGCCTCCCTCGATAGCAAGGAAGAGTCAGAGGACATGGCCATCCACATCTCCCAGAAATTCAACGTCAACATCTGGATCGGATTGAGTCGCCCGTCCCATGTAGGTCCTTTTCTGCTGCTAACATCCTTCAGGGTATCCTCGTTTAAACTCTAGTGGGCCGTTAATTTAGGGACTGCAGAGCCCGGCCTGGGAGAGCTGTTCTTCTTTTATTTTGTGCAGATATTGTTCACGTTAAGGGACGCGGTGGCTCAGTGGCTGAGACCCTGTGCTTGTTGATCAGAGAGGTCAGCAGTTCGGCAGTTCGAATCCCTAGTACTGTGTAACGGAGTGAGCTCCTGTTACTTGTCCCAGCTTCTGCCAACTGAGCAGTTCGAAAGCATGTAAAAAATACAAGTAGTGCTGGGAAATATTTTAGGAATGTATAACTGTATGTATGTATGTATGTATGTATGTATGTATGTATGTATGTATGTTATTCTATTCAGCTTTGTTCGGGTATTTTCCCACGTCATTATAGTTGTGCTTTTAAAGTTGTAGCGACATTTCGGCAGAATCTCATCTGCCATCATCAGGCTTCTGTATTGTGTTTAACGACACAGCCAACCTCCCCACCAGTATATATATGGAGACAGCAGCTCTGATCACACTTTGCTCGCACAAGTACGAAGCCAAAAGCACCAGCCTGAAGATGGCAAATGGGACCTCATCAAAACGTTGCCAAGATACTCTCAATCTTACACAGGAAAAGACCCGAACATGCTAAGACCTGCATATGTATGTGTGTGTGTGTGTGTATATATATATATGTTTTCTTAAGTTTTCACATGTACTTACATGTATGGTATTCAGCTTTGTTCAGGTATTTTCCCACATCATTATAGTTGTGCTTTTAAAGTTGTAGCTACAAGTTTAAAAGCACAACTATAATGACGTGGGAAAATACCCGAACAAAGCTGAATACTGTATGTATATATATGTGTGTGTGTGTGTGTGTGTGTGTGTGTGTGTGTGTGTTATGTCTCATAGATAGATAGATAGATAGATAGATAGATAGATAGATAGATAGATAGAT